TAGAATTATATTACTGTTTCAGTTTAAATATTCTTTCTTTCCTGCCAGTCTATACCAAACACGTGTTCATGTGTCCACAAAAGTATAACTCTGGAAGCAAAAACCCCTAAAGAAATAACAAAAGCCACCCAAATAATATATTTAGACCTGAGATTCTACTGTTAACCCTGACTAATGATTTCTAAGTGCTTTGGGTAACTTTGGATTTGGATATGATTCTGGAGTAAAAGGGAATAGGATAGCACTATTATCTATGGGATTTTGAAACAAGGGTGTATAGCTGAAATTTCAGTAAATATTTAAGTTTTCTGGAAGTGAGAAAGGAGGTCTGGTAGCATAGTGCCTAAGGCATTTGACTGCTAACCAGAAGGCTGGCGGTTCAAACCCACCAGGCCTTCCTGGGAAGGAAGGTTGGTCAATCTACTTTTGCAGTGATACTGCCTCGGAAACCCAAGGAGGGGTCGCTATGAGTTGGATCCGACTTGACGGCACATAACAACACCACAAGCCATTTATAGTCTATTAAAAAAAAACAGCACAAAGGAAAATATTAAAAAAAAATTAAGCATGAAACTAAGAGAAATTAGCCTTACTGATACTTAAGTAAAGGAGCTCTGGTGGCACATGCTAAGGTATTTGACTGCTAAACCAGAAGGTTGGTGGCTCAAACCCATTAGCCGCTCCGGAAGGAAGATGGGGCAGTCTGTTTCTGTAAAGATTCACTGCCTCAGAGAGCCAATGGGAGTCCCTGTGATTTGGAATCAACTTGATGGCAGTGAGTTTGGTTTGGTTTTGGTTTGGATACTTAAGTAATGGATTGATACCTGGGTTCTGAATGTCAGGTGGTCACCTGAAGGAATAGATGAGTTTCCTACTCTTTTCCTTGGCTGCCAGTATATTGTAACATGGTACAGCCTATGTTGCATGGTTAGGTATGTTTATAGTTATTATTATTATCCAGCATAAGTGAACAACCAGGAAATGCAGAACTGACGCTTCTACTTCTGATTGTAACGTAGATCAGCACATGATGAGATAATAAAACAACCATAATGTGATGAGATTTGGTAAAAAGTTGCCTCTCCCCCTAAAAAAAGGAAAGAAAATTAGTAAGACCACCATTTCAAATATGGATTTAGATTCACCATCATAGCAATGCATTTTGGCTCAAATGTACTATTATTAGCGTTTGTCATAGTGTCTAATGGTAGTGGGGCATACATTTAATTATAAATACACAAATGTTAGGGGCATGTGCTCAGATTTTTTTAATGGGTGAATTCTTGATTCAAAAAGTTCAAGAATGTAACTTCAGTACTAAATTGGGAAATAATATTTTGCTGAGTTGAAACTTAATGTAGAATTGTGGTTTCTATATATAGTGTATTCATCTTCTCTGTACTAAATCGGAAAATCACACATATTTGTTTTTATGGCATGAATGTTTTCCATTTGTGCTCTGAACAAAACGTTTTGTATGTACAGATGGGCAGTCAACCATAGGAAGTTGTATGTGTCTTACTCAAGATGACACAGATGAAAATGTAGCATTAAAATCCTGCCTGATGATTGTTCACTTTACAGATCCCATTTATTCCAGATATAAAATCAGAGTGAATGTGAATTATGATTGCCTCACAGCATTTGTGCAACATCTTTCATTTTTGAATGCCTATTAACTTTAGCCAAAGAAATTACAAGTATGTGGGACGTTTAAAACATTTCCTTCAGTTACTTAAAAGTGCGTCATGGTATCTGTTTGATTCTGTGTGTTTTTCCCATTTTGTTTCCTTCTAGTTGGAGGAGAGCAGATCAGTGCCATTGGTCGGGGCCTCTGTGTGTTGCTGGGTATTTCTGTGGAAGATACACAGAAAGAATTGGAGCACATGTAAGATGCAGATTGATTTCTACATTATTACTATTGGAATGGTGTACATGGTGGTTACACTGGGAATTTCCATATGATTTTGTCCCTGTATTTTGTCCTATTTGATGCAGCAAGGTGATCACTATGTTTTAGAGATGGAGGAAGAGGAGTCTGTTGTATTACCCACTAGGTCAGCTGTGGTGCAGGAGCATAATGTCACCACTGCCCTGATTTGCTGATACATTGTGAACTGGGCCTCTTTTCCTCTAAATGCAAACACTGAGCCTCTTTTCATCTTATTTAAAATTTCTGTTTTTTAATTTGGGTAATATAATCTGGGTACTATTTATGCATTTTTAAAATGCCCAGTTGTTCATGTACACATAAGGAGCTGTAACTCAAAGAGGTTAAATGACGTGCCCACAGTCATGCATGCACACTTAGTAAAAAGCCTGAGCCCAAACAGAGTCTGGGTGGTCTGACCCTGCAGCCAGTAAGTTAGGCGAGTTTGTCATTGCTGCTGTCTTACGAGACTCTTTCAGTACAGATGATCCTACCTCCTTTTATATTTTTCCTGTCCCTAGAAATGCTTGGCCCATTTACTTGCAATGCTTAGACTGTTTATTTTGCTCCTTGGTATCCAGAGCCTGGATATAAACTGCCCTGTCTTGCCTTTTCCTATCAGCATTTACTGTTTTGCATGATGATGAAAATCAGATTGAAACCAAATATCTGCTAAGGTTTTGATGACTGGTAATGACAATTCAGTACTACTTCAGATACTGATATTTTAATATCTGCCACCTGGACACTCAAGAAGGAGCTCTGGTGACACAGTGCCTAAAGTATTTGACTGCAAACCAGAAAGTTGGCAGTTTGAACCCACCAGCCACTCCGTGGAAGGAAGATGGGGCAGTGTACTTCCATAAAGATTTATGGCCTTGGAAACCCAATAGGGATCACTATGAGTTGGAATTGACTTGATGGCAGTGAGTTTGGACACTCAAGAGGCAGTAAAGGGGTACAGTGGTTAAAAACTGGGGCTCTGGGTCTGAGTTGTCTTACAGCTCTGTTGTATTAGAGAGCTAACACTTACTGTGATGCTTAAGAGATGTGACTCAGCCTAAGACAAACTCACTACTTAGGGTAACTGTTAGAAGGATTCCATGAATTAGTTTTTGAAGAGCTTTTGGAATTTTGGCCCAGAGGAAACCCACTGGGCGTGTTAACGTCTTTGTCTTCTATACCATCTGAAAACATGGCTCTCAAATGGTGGAATTTCAACTTTCATGTAGGTGGTTCTTTGCTATACTTCTCAAATCTGACTCTCTACACACCTTACATGATCCACTTCCTTGCCCAGGTGGCTATCCTTTGTTATCCACAAGTACAGGGCAAACCCCTCTGAGGCTTAAGGAACATGTGACATACTTGTCAAGATATCTTTTCCTAGATCTCTTTGCATATTTGCAACAACAGTGGATTTTCTCCCAAGGTACTTGCTGAATTATTCATTTTGAGTAACTCCGAGAAGGTATGTAAAAATGGGGTATCCTTTATTCCAGTGTCAAGATTGAATTATTCTATAAAAAATTAGAATTTGATTCATGTTTTGAAATATCTCCCAACTTGAAGGAGCAGATAATGTGTGGTTGTCATTTTCTCCCTAGTTCCCACCAGTAGCTCCAGTGAATTGGAGGGACTGACAAACAGGCAGCAAATCCCCAAACAACTCTCTGGTATAGGACTATTATTACCCCCATATTACAAATGAAAAAATTTAGTCATGGAGTAGTTAAATGATAGAGTCACCATTCTGTCCTTATTTGGCAGGATGCTGGTCCTGCTTTGGGAGTGTAGGGCTGGTGGGGGCTCATGATTCTTCAGGTGGTTCTCACTTTCTGCTTTTCATGGCAGGGTCCGAAAGATTTTAAACCTGCGTGTGTTTGAGGATGACAGCGGGAAGCACTGGTCGAAGAGTGTGATGGACAAACAGTATGAGGTGCTGTGTGTCAGCCAGTTCACTCTCCAGTGTATCCTCAAGGGTAACAAGCCTGACTACCACCTGGCCATGCCCACAGAACAGGCTGAGGGCTTCTACAACAGCTTCCTGGAGCAACTGCGAAAGGCGTACAGGCCGGAGCTCATCAAAGGTAGGCAAGAGAGTGAGCTCATGCCCAGGAAGGGGTCTTTCAGGGCAGGAGGAAATAGAATCTGCAAATGCAACATCTCCGTTTCTAGAATGTTTGTTGTTTAGGCTCATGAATTGCTTAAAATAATATAATCACTGCTATTGCTTCTGTTGTTGCACTTAACACAAATCGTCTGAATGCTCCTGATACTATTTACTCTTCTTTATTCTTCTGATTGTATTTTGAAAATATTTAGGAACCTAGAAGTATGTTGGACAACAGTGTTTCTTTGGTTGCTTCAGTCAGTTCTATCCACTAGGAATACAGTGTGAGCCACAAATGCAAGCTGCATAGGTTATTTAAAATTTTCTAGTAACTACATTAAAAAGAATCAGATTAAATTAATTTAAATAATATATTTTATTTAAGTCATTATATCTAAAATATTATAAATGTACCATGTAGTCAATGCAAAAAAATTATTAATGAGATATTTTTCATTCTTTTTTTTAACTTTCAAAATGTGGTATGTAATTTATATTTACAGCACATCACAATTTAGAGCAGCCACATTTCTTTCTTTTATTTTAAGAGCTTGTTTTACATTCAATGTTACGTGTACATTTAGTTTCATTCCCCATTTACCATGTCCAACCCTAACCCAGTCTCCTCACCTCCCTACCTTGTAATTCTTCCTCTGTCCCCTCATATTTATATACTCCTGTTTGTCCTGCATTTCCTCAATTTGAATATTGGACCTCTGATGTCTTGTGGTCTATTGCTTTAAGGGATGTATTACCATAGAGTATGTGGGTGCGTTATCCTGGGTTGAGTGGTCTGCATGTACATCTTGTTAACTGTTGGGCTGAGAGCCAGCCCCTGGAGGTGTGTTTTATTCCAGGCACAGAATGTATTCCAGGGCCATAGTATTGGGAGTCTCACCAGATTTCATCTGACCAGTAATTCTGGTCATTATTGAGTTTTTGGATTTTGTTCCACGTTTTCCCTCTCACTGTATCCAGGATCTCCAGATTTGATCCTTTCCTGAGTGGTTGGCATTGGTGGCCGGGCACCATCTAGTTCTTCTGGTCTCAAGGGCCATCGTGTCCTATGGCTGATTGCTTCCAAATGCCCTTTTTTTTTTTTTTTTTTTTGCATTCTTATTCACTTCTGATGCTAGGAGACCATTAGCTGCATCTTAAATGGCCGCTTGAAAGCTTTTAAGACCCCAGTTGCTACTCACCAATGCAGGATGTGGAGCAAGGCTTTTATGTATTTTGTTGCAGAGCGGCCACATTTCAAGTGCTCAGTAGTCATATGTGGCTACTGGCAACCATATTGGACACTGCAGGTTTGGGCCTTTGCTTACCTGCATGTCATAGTTATTTAATGCTGCTGTAATAGAATTACCCCAACTGGGGGCTTAGAGGAGCAGCAATTTATTTTCTTATGCTTCAGGAGGCTAGAAGTTCCAATTTAGGGTGGTGGCTATAGGGAAAAGTCCTTGTCTATTTCAGCTTCTAGTAGCCAGTAATCCTTGGAGTTCCTGGTATAGTACTCCTGGTACCTGCCTCTGTCTGTCATCATCACATAGTATCTGTCTTTTTCTGTTTGTGTTGCCTTATCTTTGTGTCTATGCTGCTCTTTTCACTCAGATCATCCTACGCTGATACAGTCTCTTCAACATGGCAGAACCCTATTTCCAAATAGGATTATGTTCACAGGTATCAGGGTTAGGACTCCAACACATATTTTTAGGGACAATTCAATCCATAACACTGCATATCATCAGGAATGGCAATCTAGTTTTAATAGTTAAGATTGAGTCTAGAAAATGTCTTGGAATAGTGGTCCTAGTTCATAGGAGAATTATGAATCTGAAAGACTTTTTTTTTTTTTCCACTTTCCTACATTGGAGCATGTCCCTGCCCTTTGAGTCCCATTTCCTCATGGAGAAGGAGATAAGGATTTTCCCAGACTCCCTTGCAGCTGGGAGGCCCAGGTGGGACCCTGACTCTGCTCTGCCCATCAGACATGTCTGTACTCGTTTCAGTTTGTAAGCTAGTAATGGAGAGAGTAGAGTCTCTGCATGCTGCAAGTGGTTAAAGCTCTCAGCTGCAAACCTAAAGATTGGACATTTGAGTCCACCAAGAGGCACTTTAGAAGAAAAGCCTGGTTATCTGTTTTCAAAAATCAGCCACTGAAAACCATATGGACACAGATCTACTCTGACACACGTGGGGTCACCATGAGTTGGTGCTGACTCCATGGAAACTGTTTTTTGCTTACTGGGATGGAATATATGGAATGTATGGAATATATATAAAGTGCCCTGGTGGTGCAATGGTTAAATGCCTGACTGCTAACTGAAAAGAAGGCAGTTCAAACCCACCCAGAGGTTCCGTAGCACAAAAGACCTGGTGATCTGCTCCAGTAAAGATTACAGCCTAGGAAACCCTATCGAGCAGTTCTACTCTGTCCAACTATGAGTTTGAATCAAATTGACAGCACCCAACAACAACATGGAATATATGGAATGAATATATATACACCCTCTCTTCATTTATCAATGTGGTTAGATTCCAAAGACCAAGTTGTTACGTGAAAATGGACATTATGCAAAAATGGAGGATTACCACATCAGATCACAAAATGGAAGATGACGACATCATTAGATAACTGCCAAATTATATAATTACATAACTGCCAAACCACCAAGAATCATGGCCCAGCCAAGCTGACACATAACCTTAAGCATCACAGCCAGTGTTTGTTACTGCCAGATGTATTTGTTAATGCCTTGTTCTGGTTACCTACTGCTGCTCTGACAAAAATATACCACAAATAGGATGGCTTTAATAAACAGAAGTTTATTCTCTTACAATTTGGAGACTTTGAGTCCAGGTTCAAAGTGCCAGGCTCTAGGGGCTGGGTGAAAGCCCCTCAACCTTGGGCTTCAGCTCTGCCTCCAGCTCCTGGCCCACTGAAGCTAGAGCCTTTTTTCACTCAGACAGCTAGGCTGCTGAGGCTAACAAGCCCAAGGTTGACAAGTAAAAAGGCCCAGTCCTGATGTTACCAAACCACATGGTAGGCCATTAATTCAAGTCCATTGTAAGTCCCAGGGTCGGCAGAGCATGGCAGGCTGCTGAACAGTGACATGGCTGCATGGAGGTTTCAAGGTGCCATGAGCTAGAGACCATTCCCAAAGCTGCTTCTTGTATATGGGAAGCAGACCACATACCCAAAGCAGCTACTCAGCTGCTTGTGTTAGATCCCACCATAGAGTTGATTGCCAGTCTCATCATGGGGAATAACTACCACCAGCTGCCCAACCACTCAACCAGGCCCAGTCAACTTGACACATAAACTGAACTACCACATGCCCCAACTAGTAGGATAGTGAATATTTTACTATTTTTACAAATGCCAAATGTCTGATAATGAGATGTCGGTAAGTGAGGAGAGGGTGTAGTCCTGAGGAAATCCTATAATGCCTTTGTCCCCTGATTTCTCCAGGATAACTATGGTTCCAACTGTTTTCTGAAAGTGACTTTATTTCCTGCTTTGGCATGTCCCTTGACTTTGCCAACTTACATTTGCATTATACATCCATGGAGTAGAGACACCAGGGAACTCAGAGGTCATTGACTGCTACCAACTCAGAATCTGAACAGAAGCTGGAACATTAATCAAAGATGCTCTTGCTCAGTTGACTACCTCAGCACCCTACCTGCCAGTGCCTGCACTCTGGGTTTATTTGTATCTTAGCCAAATTTGCACAAATAAGCATGCATATATGGAACTGGCTCTCTGAATTAAGCCTTTAAGCAAATCACATTTGTATTGAAAAATAGATGTGGGTTTCATAGCTCTTTTAGGAACATCCACAAGGGCTGAATAGTAAAAAGACATTCTTCATTTTTGTACTCTCAATGTTTCTGAAAGACTTTTTAAGAAGGCTGTTCATTTCTAGTCTGTTTTCATATTTCTGGGGTAAATTGCATTCACTACCATCTCATAAAGAGAGTATCCTACCTTTTTCTTCGAAAACAGTGGAAAAAATATTCAGCATCTTTTAGTAAGCAGTTCAATATGAGACCTTTCTCAGTAGAATGCTGCCTTCATGTTCTTTTGTAGTGGAAACATCAGGTAGTTCTTACCATTAACCCTATAATATTTCCTATATTTTAGCTTTCTTTCTCTACGTAAAAAAAAAAAAAAAAAAAAAACCAAAGTCACTTTTTAATTGGATCTGTTTTTAATCTTAATTAATAAAGTTTACTAAATGTGTGTGAAACAGTGTAGCAGAGCCCCATACTGTGCTATGGGTATTACCAATATGTGTTGGAGTCCTGACCCTGACACCTGTGAATATAATTCTATTTGGAAATAGGGTTTTACTCTGTTGAAGAGACTGTATCAGTGTAGGATGATCTGAGTGACATAAAGAGCAGCATAGACACAGGGACAAGGCAGCACAAACAGGAAAATGTAGACACTATGAGATGATGACAGAAGCAGGTACTGGGAGTACTGTACCAGGAACTCCAAGGATTACTGCAGTGAGTGATGTGATATTACTATCCCTTGGAAAAGAGCTCTGGTAGCATAGTGCCTAAGGCACTTGACTGCTAACCAGAAGGCTGGCGGTTCAAACCCACCAGCCACTCCTCGGAAGGAAGGTTGGGCAATCCTACTTCCGTAGTGATACTGCCTTGGAAACCCAAGGAGGGGTCGCTATGAGTCGGGGCCGACTCGACGGCAAATAACAACAACAACAACATCCCTTGGAAGCATTTCTTTTTAATTTTCCTCCCAGTAGTATCCTTGGATTTTACAAAAGGTTAAGTGTTCAACTAGTAGCCAAAGAGTTAGTGGCTCAGACAAACCCACAGGTGCCTTGGAAGACAGACAGATCTGCTTCTGAAAGATCACAGCTTTAAAAACTGTACACACTGGGTTGCCATTGAGTCGTAATAGACTCACTAGCAACCAGTAACAAAACAATGTATAGAGTCCAT